TTCCCCGTTTTGAAAAGGGGTTTTGGGATCCCCCACAAACACCCAACAAGCGAACCCAGCACGAACCGAGCCAGCATCCCCCTTTCTTCCTGGCGTCTGTGCCGGGAGACCAGGGATCATGGTCCACCGATGTGATCCCACTGACTGCAATCCCCGAACCCCAAGCCCAGGGATACATCTTCAGCACCACGCTTAAAATCTCCCCACCATCCCCATCAGAGCCCCCCCAAACCCTTTTCAAAACTCACACAGCCCCAAAGCCCACTCATCATGCCGGAGGAAGAGCTGGATCTGCCTCGGATGGACGGTTGCTCAATATTGGGGTGCCATCTTCCAGCTCACCTGGGACGTTCGCAGAGTCAGGCACTGCGGGGATGATCAACCCCCCCAGACCATCCAGGCTTGGATTTTGACAGGCAAAGGTGGAAACTGCAGCGCATTATAGCGTAAAACATCGGCTACCCTGGCCTGACGTGGCTGGGGAACCCCCTCCGCAAGGGCCACGCGGTCTACCCTTGGGATAACAGCAGGAGGAGGGCTTTTTTCTAAACATAATCGAGTCTCCAAGCCAAAATGATGCAAGGCTGGGAGACGCCCATCTCGTCCCCAGCCTCCCTCCTCAGGCATAAACCTCTGTGTGCAACGGAGAAACATTCAGTAATCCCTTGGCTGAGAACGTGCTAAACTCACGTCATGTATGGCCCGAGCTCAGCCTGAGGGACACTTTGCTGTTTAGCACTGGAAATCCACACTGACATCTTAATAGTGCACCGTTATGGAGATTTACCCAAAACAGCCTCTTTTTATGTCCTGAAAAAACTACCGTGCCTAAGCAAGAGGCTCCATTTCTTTCAATGTTTCCTGGTGGCTTTTTTCAGTACGAAAATACAGAAGTTTTCAGGACAAACTTTCTCTGCAGAAGGGCAAGCACCCCTTTTAAAAACCCTCCATTTCTTTCCAATTTCTTTCAGAAATTGAAAAGAATTTCCAATTTTCCATTTCTTTCTAAGCTTTTCCCCCCAAAACGTCCTTTTGTAACGAGCTCTAAGCAGCAACTTAAACAGATTTGCAAGGCATCACCCGGAGAGACACGAACTGACTGCGGCGTTCAGCACGGGAATTAAATTACGTGGTATTTTCCTATTAGCAAAACAGTATCAGCCTTTCCTGACTGAGCAAATGAAGGCACAGGGCGCTCGGGGAAGGGATTTATTCCATTTTACGTTAACCAAGCTCTTCCCTGCGAGCGTTTCACCGAGATGCTCTGTTGTCCCCCTGACCTGCTGTTCAAATCCCTTCCTGGGAAATCAGATCCCAGGGATCAGGAGGGGACAGGCACCGCTCTCCCACCGCCGGCGGCACAGGCACGGCTGGTTTGACCCCCA